AAAAAAAAGCAAAATAAGGGTGACTGCTGGTGTAGCCTCGTCCCACATAAAGGACAGGATCCTTGTCTTGCGGTCGCACCACAAGCCCAACCGTTGACGCCGTAGGGTCGTTAGCCGCCACATATTGTGTATCAACAGGCCTCTCGGCAGAGAAGAGGACTTCTTTCACATTGGCTAGGCTGCGTTTCTGGCAAGTGCCCTGGTGTACGCTGCCACAGGTGATGAGCTGGAGGGAATATGGATCCACTAACAGTAGCTTGTTGTGATTGTTAACGAGCCCAGCCTGAGGGCAGTTCTCCAGGGTAACCGGAGGCAGGCAGTCCTTGCTGTCTCTCACGGGGCCGGTTCTCTCATCCACTTCAAGACGGAGGCCATCAAGGCCAGCGAGCTGGAACAGATGGTCCCGAGCCCCCACGTAGACTGTTCCTATGCTGGGGTCAAGGTGCAATGCCAGGTGCTGGAAGACTGTGTCATTGGAGGAAAAGCGAGGATAACTGCTGTGGACCCCCAGAACACCCAGGATGAGGGACTGAAGCAGGGTCAAGATGAGGGCCATCCCACACTGCACTGCAAAAACACTGATTGCATGTGACATGAGTCAGTAATGGAATCAGCTCACAGCACAGAGCCAAACATAGTACAGTTAGTCAACGACATGTTAGGAATAATTAAATTTAAGGAATTAGGCTATTATTATTATTAAAATTAAGAATAATTGTCAGGCCTGTTTTACCAATAACTAGGTTGGACCACACTGTCCAATAACCAATTAATCAACCGATAAATTAAAAATTTTAAATGATTTAAAATTTTAATTGGATACTGTTGGATACGATTTAAAATGGATACTGAATGAAAGCGAACATAACACTCCAAGAAAAATAGTGCTGAACTTTATTAAAAAAAAAAAAAAAAAAGAATTAACCATGAAAATGTACTTAAATATGAATAATAATTTTGGATGGGGACCAGGATTAAGAACCGCTGCTCTGATACAGTATGTGATAAAAATGTAATTCTAATTTATTGAGATGCACCTGTAAATATAAATATTACTATTGAATACTGAACAATGAACAATACTATGGTTGCTGAGAAAAAAAGTTCAATCAGTCAGCCTCAACACAGAACTGAATGATACTCCGTATTATACCATATTCATTCAAAATATTCATATTCATTTAAAATGGTACTCTGAACTATTATCAAATAATAATATTTATTCTTTAAATATAAAGAAAATATAATGTAAATGTACAAAATAACAATAACAACAAAAACATATTATAGTATTTTTTTGTTTTGTTTTGTGGTAATATAATCTAAAATATGTACCATGTTTTTGTAAGTGGTGTTTAAATACATATTTAAATAAATAAGAAAATGGATTTAAAATAATAAATTTCCAAAAATGTGGTATTATCATGGTAGATGTATAATATAATAATAAAAAAAAAACATTTAAATAAAAAACATTCTTACCATGGTACATTTACAAAATATTACTGTTTTTGCACATGTCCCAAGTAAATAAATAAATAAAAATATGAAATAAATAAACAAACAGACAAATAAATATTACCATGGTATAATGCTTTAAGTAACAATAAAAAGGTACTTAATACCAAGTATTACCATTTTATATGTACAAAACATGATAATACCACATATTTATAAGTGAATATATGTATAGAATGAAGTGGTCTGCTACAAAAATGAATAATCATTTGGACACAAGACAGCAATCTTCAGACAAGGCAATATTTAAGAAATACAATGGCAAAATAGCACACATACCATTTGTCAGACATATAATGTTCGGGAGGCTGCTGTCCTCTTGGTTATCCAGTGGCATACCACATGCCTGTGGAGACAGTCTGTGAGGGTAGAAAAACATGCCGATTAGCTCTTACACAGAGCGGCATTGAGCAATCTGAAGAGAGGAGGCTTAATGCCATTGTGGCTCATGGGAGTCACAGCTGTTGAGCTGAGCAATCCTTCCCTGACAGGAAATTGGATGATACAGGCCCTAAGTCACCATCGAAGTCCTAATGCATTGCTCTGCAGTAGCAGATTGGCAGAGATCCTGTACTCTGAGGAGGAAAACTGTCGATGATGTTTTATATGAATAAGATGTGATTAATAAGAGGCCATTATAGGGTAGTAGTCTCCGCTTTCTTGAGGCAATTCAAGCTGACCTAAACAATCAATAAGATCAAAAGTGAAATAATGTGATTTGATTACTTGTGTTATGGCTCAGCATCACCCCTGATTCTCCATTACCCCAAGTGGAGAACCTTTCGTTCATTTCCCACATTCACTCATCCACTACTGATCTCTTTCTCCAAGTCAGCATGGAATAAATGGGCACAGTTTAAATGCACAGTATAGAGACACTTACAAAAACTGACTGCAGGTCAATGAATAAAATTATTTTAGGGTCTTAATACTCATGAAATGTTGGCCTTTCTCAGTTACCTCTATTTGGTTTGGCTATTTCCTGCTGACAAATTATTTGTATGATAAATGATTAACCAGCAATGACTATGCAGCAACTTTGGAGTGTAATTTACCAACTTTGAAAACCATATTTTCTATATTGTAAGATTTTAAGATAAAAGTGGGGGCTTGAATCAAAAGGAATGTAACAATTCTGGTTCCGATTCTTGTTCTATAATTGTTCCATTAATGATTCTTTTTAATTTGAGGAAGAAGTATTTGGAAAACAGAAATTCTGTAATAATTTCAATAATTAATGTGGGTCAGAGACAAAAACTCGTTTTCATGCAAATAAAAGTGTAATACAGTCTTTTTTTTTCTGAGCACAAAATCATACTTTTCACCAAGATTTACAGAAGACATCTACTAAAATGTCATTCAGTGTAACAATAGTTCACATATCAACAAATCATGCAGAACAAGAATCATTTGATGACATATTAAAAGACTCTCTATTCAAGCATCACAGTGCAACCCCAAAATACCTATTAATTGATATTTTAAATCTGTATACTTTGCCACAATCCTTCAAACCACTAGGTTTTAGTAAGGTAGTCAAAATTATTGAAAATATAAAACATTTTAATAAAATCACAAATTTTTATATATTTTAATTTGTACAGGGCAGAATAAGTATGTTGTTTAATTTTTACATAAAGTAGCTGTTACGCAAAATGACGATGGTTTGTTACACTGAATGAATCATTAAAAAGAACCGGCTCATAAGAGTCATTCGTTCTTATGTCTGATTCCTGATTAATAGACTCGTAGGTTCATTTTAGTGGCCATGCTGTATGTTTATGATTCACTAAAAAGAAATGGCTCACAATAGTTGTTTGTTTGGCATGTCTGATTGCCAATTCCTGATCAAAATACTCTCTATGAGCCAGTTATTTAAGCGGCAATGCAGTATGTTTTTGATTCACTAAAAAGAACCGGATCATAAGAGTCACTAGATAAAGAATCAGACTCCACTGGTCACGCAGTATGCTTTGATTCACTAAAAAGTAAGGGCACACATAAGTCATGAGAAGGCAGAAGTATTCAGCTGGTCATGTGATCTCAACATAGTGGCCACCCAAAGAGGACCCTTAAGTAGAATAAAACTGTTTCTAGGCCACTGATACGAGTCAGCTCATTTGAATTTTAAACAAACAGTCCATCATTTAAAACATAATTTGTATAAAGAAATTCATTAGGTGTAAAATTTGTAAGAAAAGGTTTCAAGCACCAAAACAGTCTGAAAATTAGGTGACTAATACAACTAAACGTTGTTAAGTTGCCAACTAATGATAGACTTGTTAGCGAAAACATGCTAAAGCTAACCGAGTGAGTGCCTCTGCCAAACCGTATATAAAGACATACCGACGTCCAATTAATTCACTAAATTTCACCTGAGTTAACAGAGAATGACAGTAGAATTAACCATTAACCAAACCAAACAAATAAAAGTGCCCCAAGCTGACCTATTACCAGATTTTGGAGGTGTGTTCCAAGAGGTCCTGTTGAGCGATTAGAAAAACCCCCTCAACATTAGGTTGTACCCTGAAAAGCAGCACAGACAAAAGGTCTCAAAAAGAGCTCAACCTCCACAGTTAGCGAACAGCAAACTGAATAATAGAGGCTCGTTAGGCCGACTGCTTTTAAATCTTCACTAGAAAAGACATGCAGGTGGTGTTGATTTAACACCAATGACAGTTAAGGCCAACATAATGCAGAGTCTCCTCTTCACAGACCAGTCATAGAGAAAGAGGGGGAAGGAGAAAGCGAAAGAGTGAGAGAGCAAGGATTCCACACAAGAATGACAAGCACTTCACCCTGTATCAAAGGATAAAACTCTGAGCCGGCCCCTCCGAAGCGTCCCCGGGCTGAAGGGAGTGTATTGTTTGGAAGCGTTCCCAGGGGCACAGATAGATGCCGGGACCGGCAGGGTAACGTCAGGCCCGTGAGGCATGGCTCACACAGCAGCGCCGAGAGGAGACTGACCCCTCTGTGTCTCTGGGAAGGGTTGGCAGTGACCCCACATTTTTATGGCCTCTAACAGAATGTTACGCTGTCACGCCTCATTGGGCATGACAATGAACATGTAAAGTTGCCACTCTGGATGATTAAGAAAGCTATTTATCCATCTCTGGGGACAATGCTGCCTTTCAGCACGTCGAATGAGGACTGAAACATAATTCACAGCTTATGAGACGTCTTTTCAGATATCAAACCGATGTCGTTAGCCTCTCCGCTAAAGGAGATTTGTCTGTAAAATATGGTGAATGGGTGTTGCGAACAATCCTCGGTTGTATTTCAGATTTTCCCAAGAAGGCGTGAGAATTGAAAGAGAAATGAGGAAGAGGAAGAGCGTGAAACAGTAGCATGTTCATGTTATTAATAGAGCTCTTGAACGTAGAGGGGCATCGCAGCATACCCTGCATTCCTGACACTATTGTTGACCTTTCCAGAGGCTTGAGTAGCCGGACTTTATCACTAATGTCGGTCCAAATGTGCAGCTTTTACTAGCTAAGAACTGCCCAGCTAGACAGGAAAAAAATCAACTGATCTAAAACGACCAACCACACAGCGTTTTGTTTTAAAGGGGTCATATGATGCTGCTAAAAAGAACATTATTTTGTGTATTTGGTGTAATGAAATGTGTTTATGCGGTTTAAAGTTCAAAAAACACATTATTTTCCACATACTGTACATTATTGTTTCTCCTCTATTCCCCGCCTTTTTGAAACGCGTCGATTTTTACAAAACTAATCGGTCTGAAAAGCGAGGTGTGCTCTGATTAGCCAGCTATCCAGTGCGTTGTGATTGGCCAAATGTAACACTCCAAAGAGAAAGGAAAAATTGAAATCGCATCATATGACCCCTTTAAGTGGTGTATAGAAGGTGAAGTTATCTGATTTGATTGACAGGTCAGCATGGGGAAAAAATAACTTAATAATAATTAAGCGCACAACAGTGTCAATCTATGGCTGGCTGTACAAAAAATTATATAGAATGTCACTTGTAGAGAAAAATTACCCTATTAGTGGTAGCAAAAAAATTTGAAAAAAATATTGATTGTTTTAAAGAAGAATCAAATCACAATTTGGGGATGAAAAAAATCTAATTGCGATTTTCTGATAAAAACGGTGGTTGTGATTTTAAATGCAATTTAAAAAGCTCCAGGTTTATTGTGCCTTCTTGTAGAGCTGCATAATTTGGTCAAAAATTTTGTGATTATATATCATAAAATAAAATTGCTAATAATAATAATAATAATTTTTATTACTACAACTAAATAAAAAATGTAATAAAACAAGAAATATTACTATGGTAATATTTCATTGTAAAATCAAAACTAAATGTAAGAAAATTAATAACAACAACAACAATAAATGATACAACTACTACTACCACTACTACTAATTATAATTATAGATATAATTATTCATATATTGTTACTGAATGGAAAAAAATAAACAAAATGAGAAAAATCTTACTAAAATAAAAAATAATATGAAGAAAATAAAATAATATTTACAACAGCAGCAGCAACAACAACAACAATAATAATTGTATTTAACAGTACAACTGTAAAATTACAGTACTAATATTAATGGTGTAATATTAGTATTAACTAATATTAACAGTGTCTCTGAGACACTGAAAACCAGATCACGTGCAGCTCGCGTGTAAATGAACACAGTGCAACGCTTCACTTTGAAACACAACTCTGCATATATTTAACTGAATAGCAGGCTTTATGATTTGATAATTGCACAAAATCATATAATGATTTCTGTTTTATTACAATTATTCACACAGCCATATCTGTCACTGTTTCACAAACACCTCAAACTCAACTCACTGGTTATGTCAATATCGTTATATTCAGACAAAAAACAAACAAACTATTTGTTGGCACTAGTGGCACAGAAATTACAAATTTTAATACCACCTGCCACTAAATTCATGATTCATGGCTGTGACGATTAAATTCTATTAGCTATTTGAAAAAAGGACACGCCCCTTAATGTAGCCAAATTTCATAAGGTGGTACCTGAGTTTAAAGCTGCGGATGCTTTTGTAAAAACATCGGGATTTCCAATCAACCTGTCTGTTAGGATCATCCATAAAAACAAATAAAAAATCACTCAGTCCCAGAGTTCTGACAGAGTGTCCCACTTCCTTCAAGCAGACGAGCTTCCCATGACAGCTGGACCCTCGGCACTATAAATATCCCCATTCTAAACCACTTATGTTGCAGTTGCAGATCAAGGTGGAGAGACGCTAGCAAACGAACACAGCCAAATCTACTGTTTCTCAGCACTCTCACTGTATCTGTCTGCGCCGTCGCTGTCATGCTGTGGTTTCCTTCACAAGCTCGCCTGTGCCC